TAGCTGCTGCCAGGCCCCTAATCTGCCATGGGCCCCTATATACCGCCTCCTCATGCTGCTGCCAAGTCCAGAGTCTCTCATGGGTCCCTGTACGGCCTCCCATTGCTGCTGTCTCCATCGCCACACTCTGCTGCCATGTGCCACTTTCTGCTGCCAAGTCTAGAGTCTCTCATGGGTCCCTGTACGGCCTCCCATTGCTGCTGTCTCCATCGCCACACTCTGCTGCCATGTGCCACTTTCAGGTCTCTTCACACTGCTGGTGTGTTAAATTTTTTGACATAGGGTGCAGGCAGATTACGGGCCTCACATAGCTGCTGCCAGGCCCCTAATCTGCCATGGGCCCCTATATACCGCCTCCTCATGCTGCTGCCAAGTCTAGAGTCTCTCATGGGTCCCTGTACGGCCTCCCATTGCTGCTGTCTCCATCGCCACACTCTGCTGCCATGTGCCACTTTCAGGTCTCTTCACACTGCTGGTGTGTTAAATTTTTTGACATAGGGTGCAGGCAGATTACGGGCCTCACATAGCTGCTGCCAGGCCCCTAATCTGCCATGGGCCCCTATATACCGCCTCCTCATGCTGCTGCCAAGTCCAGAGTCTCTCATGGGTCCCTGTACGGCCTCCCATTGCTGCTGTCTCCATCGCCACACTCTGCTGCCATGTGCCACTTTCAGGTCTCTTCACACACTGTGGTGTGTTAAATTTTTTGACATAGGGTGCAGGCAGATTACGGGCCTCACATAGCTGCTGCCAGGCCCCTAATCTGCCATGGGCCCCTATATACCGCCTCCTCATGCTGCTGCCAAGTCAGAGTCTCTCATGGGTCCCCTGTACGGCCCCATTGCTGCTGTCTCCATCGCCACACTCTGCTGCCATGTGCCACTTTCAGGTCTCTTCACACTGCTGGTGTGTTTAAATTTTTTGACATAGGGTGCAGGCAGATTACGGGCCTCACATAGCTGCTGCCAGGCCCCTAATCTGCCATGGGCCCCTATATACCGCCTCCTCATGCTGCTGCCAAGTCTAGTCTCTCATGGGTCCCTGTACGGCCTCCCATTGCTGCTGCTGTCTCCATCGCCACACTCTGCTGCCATGTGCCACTTTCAGGTCTCTTCACACTGCTGGTGTGTTAAATTTTTTGACATAGGGTGCAGGCAGATTACGGGCCTCCTCACATAGCTGCTGCCAGGCCCCTAATCTGCCATGGGCCCCTATATACCGCCTCCTCATGCTGCTGCCAAGTCTAGAGTCTGTCATGGGTCCCTGTACGGCCTCCCATTGCTGCTGTCTCCATCGCCACACTCTGCTGCCATGTGCCACTTTCAGGTCTCTTCACACTGCTGGTGTGTTGTTAAATTTTTTGACATAGGGTGCAGGCAGATTACGGGCCTCACATAGCTGCTGCCAGGCCCCTAATCTGCCATGGGCCCCTATATACCGCCTCCTCATGCTGCTGCCAAGTCTAGAGTCTCTCATGGGTCCCTGTACGGCCTCCCATTGCTGCTGTCTCCATCGCCACACTCTGCTGCCTGCCATGTGCCACTTTCAGGTCTCTTCACACTGCTGGTGTGTTAAATTTTTTGACATAGGGTGCAGGCAGATTACGGGCCTCACATAGCTGCTGCCAGGCCCCTAATCTGCCATGGGCCCCTATATACCGCCTACCGCCTCCTCATGCTGCTGCCAAGTCTAGAGTCTCTCATGGGTCCCTGTACGGCCTCCCATTGCTGCTGTCTCCATCGCCACACTCTGCTGCCATGTGCCACTTTCAGGTCTCTTCACACTGCTGGTGTGTTAAATTTTTTGACATAGGGTGCAGGCAGATTACGGGCCTCACATAGCTGCTGCCAGGCCCCTAATCTGCCATGGGCCCCTATATACCGCCTCCTCATGCTGCTGCCAAGTCCAGAGTCTCTCATGGGTCCCTGTACGGCCTCCCATTGCTGCTGTCTCCATCGCCACACTCTGCTGCCATGTGCCACTTTCAGGTCTCTTCACACTGCTGGTGTGTTAAATTTTTTGACATAGGGTGCAGGCAGATTACGGGCCTCACATAGCTGCTGCCAGGCCCCTAATCTGCCATGGGCCCCCCTATATACCGCCTCCTCATGCTGCTGCCAAGTCCAGAGTCTCTCATGGGTCCCTGTACGGCCTCCCATTGCTGCTGTCTCCATCGCCACACTCTGCTGCCATGTGCCACTTTCAGGTCTCTTCACACTGCTGGTGTGTTAATTTTTTGACATAGGGTGCAGGCAGATTACGGGCCTCACATAGCTGCTGCCAGGCCCCTAATCTGCCATGGGCCCCCTATATACCGCCTCCTCATGCTGCTGCCAAGTCTAGAGTCTCTCATGGGTCCCTGTACGGCCTCCCCCATTGCTGCTGTCTCCATCGCCACACTCTGCTGCCATGTGCCACTTTCAGGTCTCTTCACACTGCTGGTGTGTTAAATTTTTTGACATAGGGTGCAGGCAGATTACGGGCCTCACATAGCTGCTGCCAGGCCCCTAATCTGCCATGGGCCCCCTATATACCGCCTCCTCATGCTGCTGCCAAGTCAGAGTCTCTCATGGGTCCCTGTACGGCCTCCCATTGCTGCTGTCTCCATCGCCACACTCTGCTGCCATGTGCCACTTTCAGGTCTCTTCACACTGCTGGTGTGTGTTAAATTTTTTGACATAGGGTGCAGGCAGATTACGGGCCTCACATAGCTGCTGCCAGGCCCCTAATCTGCCATGGGCCCCTATATACCGCCTCCTCATGCTGCTGCCAAGTCTAGAGTCTCTCATGGGTCCCTGTACGGCCTCCCATTGCTGCTGTCTCCATCGCCACACTCTGCTGCCATGTGCCACTTTCAGGTCTCTTCACACTGCTGGTGTGTTAAATTTTTTGACATAGGGTGCAGGCAGATTACGGGCCTCACATAGCTGCTGCCAGGCCCCTAATCTGCCATGGGCCCCTATATACCGCCTCCTCATGCTGCTGCCAAGTCAGAGTCTCTCATGGGTCCCTGTGTACGGCCTCCCATTGCTGCTGTCTCCATCGCCACACTCTGCTGCCATGTGCCACTTTCAGGTCTCTTCACACTGCTGGTGTGTTAAATTTTTTGACATAGGGTGCAGGCAGATTACGGGCCTCACATAGCTGCTGCCAGGCCCCTAATCTGCCATGGGCCCCTATATACCGCCTCCTCATGCTGCTGCCAAGTCCAGAGTCTCTCATGGGTCCCTGTACGGCCTCCCATTGCTGCTGTCTCCATCGCCACACTCTGCTGCCATGTGCCACTTTCAGGTCTCTTCACACTGCTGGTGTGTTAAATTTTTTGACATAGGGTGCAGGCAGATTACGGGCCTCACATAGCTGCTGCCAGGCCCCTAATCTGCCATGGGCCCCTATATACCGCCTCCTCATGCTGCTGCCAAGTCTAGAGTCTCTCATGGGTCCCTGTACGGCCTCCCATTGCTGCTGTCTCCATCGCCACACTCTGCTGCCATGTGCCACTTTCAGGTCTCTCTCACACACTGCTGGTGTGTTAAATTTTTTGACATAGGGTGCAGGCAGATTACGGGCCTCACATAGCTGCTGCCAGGCCCCTAATCTGCCATGGGCCCCCTATATACCGCCTCCTCATGCTGCTGCCAAGTCCAGAGTCTCTCATGGGTCCCTGTACGGCCTCCCATTGCTGCTGTCTCCATCGCCACACTCTGCTGCCATGTGCCACTTTCAGGTCTCTTCACACTGCTGCTGGTGTGTTAAATTTTTTGACATAGGGTGCAGGCAGATTACGGGCCTCACATAGCTGCTGCCAGGCCCCTAATCTGCCATGGGCCCCTATATACCGCCTCCTCATGCTGCTGCCAAGTCCAGAGTCTCTCATGGGTCCCTGTACGGCCTCCCATTGCTGCTGCTGTCTCCATCGCCACACTCTGCTGCCATGTGCCACTTTCAGGTCTCTTCACACTGCTGGTGTGTTTAAATTTTTTGACATAGGGTGCAGGCAGATTACGGGCCTCACATAGCTGCTGCCAGGCCCCTAATCTGCCATGGGCCCCTATATACCGCCTCCTCATGCTGCTGCCAAGTCCAGAGTCTCTCATGGGTCCCTGTACGGCCTCCCATTGCTGCTGTCTCCATCGCCACACTCTGCTGCCATGTGCCACTTTCAGGTCTCTTCACACTGCTGGTGTGTTAAATTTTTTGACATAGGGTGCAGGCAGATTACGGGCCTCACATAGCTGCTGCCAGGCCCCTAATCTGCCATGGGCCCCTATATACCGCCTCCTCATGCTGCTGCCAAGTCCAGAGTCTCTCATGGGTCCCTGTACGGCCTCCCATTGCTGCTGTCTCCATCGCCACACTCTGCTGCCATGTGCCACTTTCAGGTCTCTTCACACTGCTGGTGTGTTAAATTTTTTGACATAGGGTGCAGGCAGATTACGGGCCTCACATAGCTGCTGCCAGGCCCCTAATCTGCCATGGGCCCCTATATACCGCCTCCTCATGCTGCTGCCAAGTCTAGAGTCTCTCATGGGTCCCTGTACGGCCTCCCATTGCTGCTGTCTCCATCGCCACACTCTGCTGCCATGTGCCACTTTCAGGTCTCTTCACACTGCTGGTGTGTTAAATTTTTTGACATAGGGTGCTGGCAGATTACGGGCCTCCCATTGCTGCTGCCAGACATGTAATCTGCCATGGGCCCCCGTACCGACTCCTCATGCTGTGACGTTGCAACAAGGTGTAATTCAACCCTACATATGTTAGACCGCCTTTACGAACAGCTAAAGGCCATCACAGATTTCCTGATGTTAAAAGCGGATAAAGGTACTCCCTGTGTAACTTAGATGTCAGCCATTGTCAGCTCATGTGTGACACCTGCGCTTGCTCAGGCCCTTTGAGGAGGCCACGCTATTCGTGAGTCGGCAGGACTATGGGATGAATGAGGTCAAATCGGCCATGGGCCCCCGTACCGCCTGTTCACGCTGATGCTGGTCCCACAGTGTGACCTGGGTCCCTGTACGGCCTCCCATTGCTTCCACTCTGCCATGTGCCACTTTGAAATCTCCTCACACTCCTGCGGTTGTCCATTTTGTCATAGGTTGCTGGCAGATTACAGGCCTTCCATAGGTGCCACCAAGCCCCATATCGGCCATGGGCCCCCGTACCGCCTGGTCACGCTGCTGCTGGGCCCATAGTGTGACCTGGGTCCCTGTACCGCCTCCCATTGCTCCCACTCTGCCATGTGCCACTTTCAGGTCTCCTCACGCTCCTGCTGGTTTCCATTTTGTCATAGGTTGCTGTATGGCCTCCCATTGCTGCTGCCTCCACCGCCACACTGTGGCTCCAAACACTGGTTTTGGCCCCGTGACTGGCCAAAGGAGTGAAGTGTGCAGTGATTCTAAGATCGACGGCACTCATCTGCATGTCATACTGACAGACAGTTCTGCACTAATATTAAGTCTCTCTGAAGCCTAGAAACACCCTTTTTTAAGTTAAATTCACAGCGAATTTATTCGACTCGAATCGAATATTGTCCACGAATTCGCCGAATCAGTCGAATCGAATTTTTCATTTCTTCGCTCCTCCCATAATAGCTGTGTTGGCAGCTCTGACTTTTGTCACTCAACTAGGCCGGTTTGCATCTATGTTTCTGAAGTAGTGAGATATACGTTTTTAATGTGTCAATATTTGCTTTCTGTGCATTTGGATGAACGGCTGTATTAAAGTTAAGCAGAGAAAATAAAGGTCTATGTGTTGGGAGGAAGGATTTGGTGAAGTAAGGATTTGCTCTGGAAGTTGAGATTTCAGCAATGGGGAGAAGTTTGTGCTGGAAGGAAGGGGTAATTTTTTTATTTTTTTTTTAATTGGGGAGAATTTCAACTTGTAGTGGGAATATGTGCTTTGAGGGGTGAGCTTGAAGATTAGTGCTTGATTTATGGATTTATATGGAGTGGGAAAGTATATATTTGATAAGAGGGGAAGAAGAGGGAGAGCATTGCTGGCAGGGGAATTTAAATGCTTTGAGCCCTGCACTCTGTATGTACCCCTAACCCCTGCAGGATATGCATTATGTACTTCTGATCCCTGTACTCTGTGAATTGCACACTCCTGACCCCTGCACTCTGTGCATGACCTATCATTGACCTCCACACTCTCGGTGTGTTATACACTCCTGATCCCTTCATTTTTTGCTTTATGTACTCCTGACCCTCGCACTCTGTGCATTACATACTCCTGGCCCCTGCACACTGTGCCTTATGTACTCCATATCCATGAGCTATGTGCATTACATACTTCTGACCCCTGCACTTTGTGCCCTACACACTCCTGAACCCCGTACTCTGTGTATCACATACTCCTGACACCTGCACTCTGTGAGTTAAACATCCCTGATCCCTACACCCTGTGCATTACATACCCCTGGCTTTTTAATTCTTTGCATTACATACCCTTGACTCCTGCACTCTGTGCATTACATGCTATACACTATATAATACAAGTAGTTGCAGGTTTTATTTGGCCATGACCTGTTAATCTCTTTCCACTGTTGCCACAAATTGGCCATTGCTTGCAGTGGCACTATGTGCA